GAGGCCAGCAGATCAGAAGAGAGAGGAGGAGGAGGAGGAGGAGGAGGAGGAGGAGGAGGAGGAGAAGGAGGAGGAGGAGGAGAGGAGGAGGAAGGAGGAGGAGGAGGAGGAGGAGGAGGAGAGGAGAAGGAGGAACAAGACAAGGAACATGAGCAGGAAAAGGAGGAGAAGCAGGAGCAGGGAAAGCTTCTCAGTTGTCTCAGTTTTCTCAGCTTTCCCAGGTTTCTCAGCTTCCCCAGGTTTCTCAGCTTTCCCAGGTTTCTCAGCCTTTCCAGTTGATTCAGAACGGATCGTCGGCAGATTGTCTTGTGTCTTGCCCAGGTCAGATTGGATTCTTGATGAGATGGAAGCGTCGCTCACAAGTCTGAAGCACTGGAAGGAGAGGAGGAGATGGAGGAGGAGGAGGAGGAGGAGGAGGAGGAGGAGGAGGAGGAAGAGAAGGAGGAGAACGAATGTTTAGGAATCTCTAGGAATCCTCAGGAATCCTGAGGACCCTGTAGGAATCCTTAGGAATCCTAACATTCATGAGGAATCCCCTTGAATTTGTGACGAACCCTTAGGAATTTAAAGGAGTCTTCTGGAATCCTGAGGAATACACAGCAAGCTTTAGGAATGCGCAGGAATCGTAAGGGAATCCTTAAGAATCCGCAATAGATCCTTAGGAATCCCTAGGACACCCGCAGGAATAGAACTGGATTGTTTTTTCGCGTGGCCGGGTGCTAAGATAACGCCACGGTGCGGGGGGGGGGCGGGATACCCTCTCGTGGACCTCCCCCTAGGACGGCCGATGAAAATCAATTTCTAGAAGGGTTTTGAATGAGAAATCTCTTCCAAGAGGCCAGCAGATCAGAGGAGGAGGAGGAGGAGAAGGAGGAGGAGGAGGAGGAGGAGGAGGAGAAGGAGGAGGAGGAGGAGGAGGAGGAGGAGGAGGAGAGGAGGAGGAGGAGGAGGAGGAGGAGGAGGAGAGGAGAAGGAGGAGCAAGACAAGGAACATGAGCAGGAAAAGGAGGAGAAGCAGGAGCAGGGAAAGCTTCTTTGGGAAGGGTCCTCAGCAGGTCTCTCAGAGAGGTCCCGAAGCAGGCCTCTCTCCGAAGCAGAGAGCAGGTTCCCAGAAGCAGAGCAGGCCTCTCAGAGCAGGCGTCCGAAGGCAGGCCTCTTTGAGCAGGTTCCTAAGGGAAGCAGACGCAGGCCTCTGAGCAGGTCCTAGGCGCTAAGCAGGCTCCCAGGCAGGCCTCTTAGCACGCCTCGTTTTCCAGGGGCCAGGCCTCCGCGAATTTGTTCTGTGTCCGGGTGCTAAACCTATCGTTCGGTTATTTCGGCCCCTCGGAATATCGAATAAAAATGCGGTGCTAAGATATCGCCGGGGGGGTTCTTAAATGCTTCCTCGGGTTACGCTTTGATCTTCAACGCCATGCTATGCGATGTTATGTTCGGGGCCGCTGTGCGATGCCATGCTTTGCGTTGCAAAGCTTTGTGATGCAACTATTCACTACGCCACGCCACGCCATGCTGTGACATACTACGCTTTGCGGTGCTCTTCTACGCCATGCCATGCCGTGCTCTACAATGCATCGCGTACCCTTTCGGGATCATTGCCCTGCTCGACATCCGACTGTGCGAGTAGAGAGGGGATCTACGCCATGGTAAGGGATGGGAGGGAGGGGTAGGATGTCAGATATGACGCGAGCGCACCTAGCTTGTCCTCCTCCTCCTCCTCCTCCTCCTCCTCCTCCTCCTCCTCCTCCTCCTCCTCCTCGACCTCCACCCCTGTCCCCCCTCCAAGTTATTGTGGTGGTGGTGGTGGAAAACAGGCCCATCAGGTGTCGCGGGCCGAGGCCGTGGGCGGCGCCGTGCGGGGCGCGGTGGGGCTGGGCTACGCGTGGCTCCCCAGGGGAGGAAGAGGTACCCATACCGTTGCCCTTCTGCCGTCTTCCCCTTTTGGAGTTTCCTGGGAGGCCCTCGTCGCCACCGCTGGATTCGCTTCGAAATCCTGGTCAGAACGCACCCTGGGAGAAGTCCGGGGAGTTGCGGTATCAGTACCTTTTGGTCCCCCCAGCTCCTTTGTCCGCCCTCCTCTTGTCGGGGGAGCGTTCGAGGCCTCCCAGATGGGGTCCGAGCAGAGGGGGCCGGAGGATCGCGATGCATCGCCGAGATGGGTGGATTCAGGCGATCGCAAAGATGGATCAAGGGGGCGTGGATTAGCGACGGGTCCCGTTTCTTTGGGAATTAGCGGATTTCCGCCGCCGAACGAGACGGCACGGGGTGCATTTTGGGGAGGGTGCCTTCCCCGATCCAAGTTTGCGAGCCCCCGATGGATGTGCAGCCCGATTTGCTTCACGTCGGCGTCGCCGATGCATCGCCGATGCCGACGATGCATCGCCGATACATCGACGATGCATTGGCGACGCGGCGCGATCAGCTGACCCCGTCTACTCGGGCCCAATCTACGGGGCATCTAAAGGTAAGACTCGAGTACGTTGGAACTTGGATTTGCCGACGCTTTTTGACGAACGAGTCCTGGATTTGGACGGTCCAGTTTTCGTGTGGTGTCTGCAGCGGGAGCTCGCGCCAAATTTCAGACTGGTCCTCGTTATTATCATGATGGCCCCCATCAGGCCAACCCGAATCCCCCGAGCACGAGTCTTGCGCCTCCCCGACTTTAGCGGGCGAAGAGCGGTATGAACTAATTTTTTCCGTCACCTGGGGCGCCTGCCCCGATGGCGGTTTGGAAGTTGATACATTGAGGTGCCAATGTGGGGGTGTAAGTTTTCGAGCCGCCTTGGGACAGGCACCCCTGGTGACGAAAGAGTTTATGTTATATATACAGTTATTCGCCCGCTAACTCTTGCTCCCATCGTCTCGATCCTCGATGCCCTTCCTCGGCCAAAGTATCCCCCCTAACGTTGCCCCTCCCCTGACCCCCACCCTCCACGCTCGCCACCAGAGCAGCACCGGCGACAGGTACGCCGAGCCGCCAGGTAGGTCGTCGTCGTCGTTGTCGTCGTCGTCGTCATCGTCATCGTCGTCTCAGGCGTCGTCCGTCGGCTGGGCTGCGCGTGGCTCCCGGGGATGAGTGGATGAGTGGACTTCTGAGCGATGGCAAGAGGAGGGAAAGCCTCGAGGCCTAGACGGGTGAGAGTAGGGCAGTATCGTTTGCCCGATCCCCATCCCCATCTCGATCCCCACCATCCCACAATTCCAGTTAGGAGATATGCGCCTCAAAACCCGAAAGGGCCAGCCTATATCCCCATCTAGGAGAGGAAGGGGAGGAAGGATACATGCGTTTTCTTTAACCCCTGGCGATGACTCGAGTAGCAAACAATGATGTAAACATACATGTTCGACGGTCCGCGCGGATTTCTCGGATCGGCGTTGAGCCCCCTGGCGGCGCTTCCGGCACCGCCCTTGGTGCGCTCCGCGCGCCAGGGAAGGGGGTCCAGCACCGATGCAAGAAATCGGCGTGGACCTGCTAAATTCTATGTATATAGTGTTGCTTGTTCCCCTGAGAAGAGGAGGGAGCCCGATGGGAGGGGGACGGGGCCGGTCACGGACTACGCATGGCTCTCAGGGGACTCGGCATCATTCGGACGTGTGCATGTTTCTTCGCGCGACCAGCGCCAGAAATCTCGGACCCACAATGCCGATGTATCGCCGACGTCGCAACGCGTCGCCGATGCACCGCCAATGCATCGCCGAGGAGGTACTGCTACCGCGACCCTTCTATCGTTTTTGCTTTGTCGGCCTCTCCTGGGGTGTCCGTCGTCGCCACGGCCAGAGCGCACCGTGAGAGAGGTCCGCAGAGTCATGAGGACCACTTCGGGCTCGAGAGGAGCTCTCAGAGCCGTTTCTTAGGTCTAGGGCCGTATCTTAGGTCCAGGGCCGCTTCTCAGAGCCTTTGTCCCGTGGAGCCCAGAGTTAAGGTCCCTGTAAGGTCGTTTTTAAAATCCCGTGAGTAGGGTGTCAAGCAGCCTGGGGGGTGGTTTGAAGGTCCCGTGGGAGGCCCATGGAGGGGTCAAGTGCACTGCATGTATTAGGTGCCGCTGGGACCCTATAGGGCTCTGGTTTTCGGGCCGTTTCTTAGGTCTAGGGCGCGAAACCTCTTCTGGACGCCTCGCGTAACTCCACCAGCCCAGCCAGGAACGATGCCCTCGGGTGAGCTGCCCTGATCAGGGATGCGGAGGAGCACGCAGTAGAAGAAAGGGCTGGGGAAACCGTCACAGACCCCGAGGGTGAGGAGGAGGAGGAGGAGGAGGAGGAGGAGGAGGAGGAGGAGGAGGAGGAGCAGGAGGAGCAGGAGGAGCAGGAGGAGCAGGAGGAGCAGGAGACTGAAGGAGGAGGCGGAGGAGGAGGAGGAGGAGGAGGAGAGTGGAGGAGGAGGAGAAGAGGAGGAGGCGGAGGAGGGGAGGAGGAGAACAGGAACACAGGCGAAGTATTCACACGTAACTCCATCATCTGGTGCTGGTGGTCTCACCACTCCGACTTACGGTGGTAAGCAGCATCCAGAAATTGTCCCAGAGGTCTTCACTTCTTCATCACGTGAGCCTCTACCTCTCGTGGGCTCAATCTACCCCAAAGAGGAGAAAACGTGGCACCTCTATTTTCGCGGAGGAGGACCAGGCCGGGCCGGGGGACCGGGCCGGGCCGGGGGGCCGGGCCAGGCCAGGCGATGGCGCCGGGCTGCCCCCATGGCGGCGGCTGAGGCGGCTGCCCCGGCGGCTTCTGCTGCAATAGAGGCTGTCGCAGGACGCACCCGGCCATGGCTGCCGCCTTTACTTGCACGTGGGAGGTGAGCGAGCAGGCGGCCCGGCGACCTGCTACCTGTGCGAAGTGCTGCACGCCGTTCGAGACAGGGGACCTTCGGCTTCGTCGGGCCAATACGCGTAACACTCGGCTCATTCATCCCGGGTGCTCTCACGGACTGGTCAACGACACCTTTTCTATCGTGGGGTTCGGGCAGTTTCCTCTGGCCACGAGACAGAGACTAGAGCGTTCCCTGGCGCATGCGGTGTCCGCCCACGGCCTGTCTGGAGACGTCCTTCAACCCCGCCTCGAACGGCTCCCTGACGATCCGGACCACGTCCCACCCCGTAATGAACTTCGCTATCTCCATTTGTGGGACGACGTTGCCTGGAAAAGGATTCGCATCTGCCCCTACGTCATCCGCCACGTGCCGGACCACTGGAGGAGCAGCATCGCTGAGGCTAAGCACGCGGTTGCTGCTGCCATCGACGCGGTGCGTGGTCGCGTCGACGTGGTGCGTCGGCGCGGCCAAGTCTGGAAGTTGTTTGTTTGTGTCGCTGCCTTGCTTTTGCATTCGGTGTCTAGGCAGCGGGGAGGCTGGCGCGGACAGGGCAGCCACGCGATGAACACGATCCTCAGCGCCCGCCTACGTGCTCTCTGGATCGGTGCTTGGCCGCAGATGCTATTGGAGTTAGAGGGCACCAGAGTACGGTTACGAGCTCCCCGGCGCAATCCCAGTCCGCGGCGGCTGCTGCAGAGGACGTCCGTGTCATCGAGCATTTCGTCGCCAACAAAGCTGTCAGCAAGGCCCTTGCGCGGGCGCACGCGCCCATGCGTTTTGCCCAAGGCGACGACGTCCCGAGGCGCCTGCAGGACATGTTTCCCAGGCCAGCTCGACCGCTGCTTCCGCAGCCGGCCCATGAGGAGGTCCCGGCGGAGTTGCGAGAAGAGCTCGTAACGCATATTGCGGCGGCTGTCACGGCACTCCCGTCGATGTGCGGCGCCGGGCCCAACGGGTCTTTCTCCGAGCACCTCAAGATCCACGCATTCATCCAGGGTGGCCTGCAGGTCCTGGCCGGCGTCCTCGCAGAGTTGCAGACCAGCGAGACCCCAGTCGAGGCGGCCCGCGCCTCCAGGAGCGCCCGCTGCCACTCCCCTCTCAAGCCGGACCCTGACGTCGACATTCGCCCGTTGGTGTCCCCGTCCGGCCATTGGCGCGCTGCGCTCCGAGGGTGGGGCAACATGTTCTCCGAGGCGGTTCGTAAAGCACTGGGCGAATCTCAATGCGGCGTCGCCCGGCCAGGTGGCCCCGTGGCGCGCCAGCATTTTGTCGAGGCGCATTCGTTCTCTGACCCTGAGCTCGCCCTCGCAGCCCTCGATGTGGCGAACATGCACGGCAGCATGTGTCTGGGCAATATCGAGTCCGAGGTCCGACACCGAGTCCCTCGCACGTGGCCGCTGGTCTCTCGCTGGCTCCGCCTCGAACGGCGCCACGCGTTCAAGAATCCAGCTGGCGCCCTCCACGAGATCATCGCCGCGATTGGGGTCGACCAGGGCTGCCCGTCGACCTCCTACTTGGCCTGCCTGGCGCGACGCAGCAGCCTGGTTACGACTTAGCGCGCTGAATTTTATGTGGGGAAAACCGTTTAAGCAGCCACAGATTTTGCCAGCCCCCAGCTTCCGAAATGTGCCGGCACCACCGCCGTCCTTCGGGCATGGGTGCCGCTTGGGTCCGGGTTGGCTGCTGGTCGGGTAGTGGGCTTATCGATAAGGAGCAGTGATCAAGACACCTTCTGCCCACAGAGCGCGAGCCGTCTCGCGAACTCCATCCCGCCGTCCCTGCACAGACGTCGCATCCGAGTGCCCCTTTTTTCAAAACGCGCTGCGAAGTGGTCGCGGGGCGCCCGCGCATGCTCCAGATTCAGGGATGGTTGGCCTGCGCGCAGCAAACGATATGAGGACACCCCCGCTGTCCCTGTGAAAAACCATGCAAACTGGTCGCGGGGCTCCCGCGCATGCTCAAGATTTGGAGGCAAAGTGTGTTTTGTACTGTTTGTTGGCGGGTGGTTGGCCTGCGCGCAGCGAGCAATATGAGGGCACCCCCGCCGTCCCATGTCAAAAACCAGTACGAAGTGGTCGCGCGGCGCCCGCGCATGCTCCAGATTCGGAGGCACAGTGACTGTGGTATTCTTTTGTGACAGGGATGATTGGCTTGCGCGCAGCAAGCAAGCATGATGTGGACACCCCCGCCGCCCCTGTCAATAACTGATGCAAGTGGTCGCAGGGCGTTCGCGCATGCTTCAAACTGGGATGCAGAATGTATGTTGTATTGGTTGTGTTGACAGGGATGGTGGGGGGGGGGGGGCCGCATGGGTGCCCTCATGGGTCCAGGTTGACTGCCCGTCGGTTGTGGGAGGGGGTGTCTATCTACTAATAGGGAACAGTGGTGAAAGCCTCCCCGAAGGGACAAAAGGGGGTTGCAAGAGGAAGCGCCCCAAACCACTGACGCCCAGAGTGATGGCGGGAGTCGTGGCCGAAGCTCGCCATCCCCTGAAAATCCAAGTCGTTCTTGATTCGGCGTTCCCTATGGCAGCACGAAAGCTGCAGTTGTATTGGAATACCTTTTTGCTCGCCGCCAGGCTCCTGTATCAGTTCCTCACCGCCCCGGACAACCCAGCGTACCTGTCCAGGTTGCGAAGCACCGTGAGCGCTGCCGTGCCTGGGAGCTCGACGCAGAAAACACTGCATTGACATGAAATGTTGGAGATCCGCGCTGAGTTTTTGAATCGGCGTTGGGCCCCTTTTGGATCGGCGTGTCGGCGGACGCGGGGTCGCCGCTGGAGCTCGAAGTCAGAACCGAACAGATACCGATGCCGCTGTTCGTTCTGGAGAGCCCTCGTCGCCACAACGCGATTATCCTCGAAGACCTGGTCAGAACGCTCCCCAGGAGGGTCCCCGGAGCCGCGGCTTCCGTGCAAAATTGCCTCGCGCGAAAGAGAAGCCGATGCACGAGCGATCGCAAACATGGATTCAAGGGGCGTGGATTAGCGACGGGTCCCGTTTTCATGGCAAATCGCGGATTTTCGCCGCCGGGCGAGGCGGCACCGGCCGCATTTTGGGGAGGGCACCTCTCCCGATCCATGGATTTGGTGACCGCGCGCCAAATCCATGGATCGCTAATCCATGTTTGCGCGCCCCCGAGATGCTCGAGCAGAATCTTGCGGAGCTCCGCGCGGATTTCTTGGATCGGCGTTGAATCCCCTCCTTGGGGCGTGGAGCTCGCCGGAGGCGGGGCCGCCCAGCGCCGATCCAAGACACCGCGCGGAGCTTCGAAAGGTTGTGTGTTGTTATTTTGTTGATCATAAGTCGGGCCTGTCCCTCTACCCGAGGAATATTACAAAATAGAAAAACATTGTGGGGACGATGTGTTGCTTATGTTTGACAATGTTTGATTATTTGGGGGTATTTTTCTTCCGTCCAAAATCCGCTTGTAGGGGGACATGCCCGACCTAATTTCAATCCTCTAGGAGTGGCCTTAAGGCCATCGGTTTTGGGACTCGGGTCGCTCTCCTAGAATGCCTCGGGCTACTGGGGCCTCCGGGGTTCCCACATGCCGCATCGTGAGGCACCGTGTAGTGAGGCCGCTGGGGATTCCGAGATCACCGAACGGTCTGGCTCCGCAACTTTTTCGGACCCCCAGATCTTGAGATCCGACGCTGCGAACAATAATGCAACATCGCTGTACAATGGAGGCCCATGCCAAGAGACACCCAGCTTGCCTCCAGGGTGCCCTGGGTTTCTTGGGTTTCGTTGGTTTTGCGATGGACATCGCGACGTTCCCACACCAAACATCAAGGGGAAGTCCTGGGGTCTCAGGCTTGGGTTTCTTGGGTAAGGGTTCTTGTGGTCGGTACTGCAAATCACCAACAAATCTGTCTGCCGCATTTTTCGATCCGCGTCGATATATGATGGTCCTGGGGCCGAGACCGCGCGAAAGCGTCCAGTGTGAAAAGCATGTATATGCGTATTCTGTTGTTTCTTCTGGTGGTGGCCTCAGGGTCTTCGAGGCCAGCATCGCCGCCGCTGTCCCTCATCGTAGCCGCCGTCATTGTTGATGTCGTCGTCGTTGTCGCCGTCGGCGTCGTCTTCGTCGACGTCGTCGTCCGCCCGTATTTGTCGTCCACTCGAAGTCCCTCTCACACCCAGACGCTCACGGCCAGGCGCTCACAGCGGCGCGTGCCAGGAAATGATATGCACACTTGGGCGACGGAAGAAAATGGAGCCGTCTGCGCCGACATTGGCGCGCAGGCTGCCCCGCGCAGGGTCGCGCGTAGGCGCCCTCGTTTCCAGTGTAGCTTGCCGCGCTGGCGGCCCGCGTAAGCCACCGCCGCGTAAGGTCGCCACGCCATCTCGCGTACGACCCGCTTCTGTTCGTCGCTCCTATGGGGGGATCTCCTTGTCGCATCATGTTGTCTCTTCTTCTTCTTCTTCTTCTTCTCCCAGGAGCGGCCTCAGGGTCCTCGAGGTCGGCATCGGCGCCGCGGACCACATCGGCTTCTACCCGGCCGGCACCCGGCTGGTGGGCTTCGACGCCCGGCTGCCTCCCCCCGAGCAGCGGCTCGGCACCGAGGCCCGGGCCCGGGAGCTCGGCATCAAGCTCCGGTGGTCGAGGCAAGAAGCACGATGGCCACGATCTTCTCCTCTTCTTCCTCCTATACCTTCCCCTCCTCCTCCTCCTCCCCCTTTCCCTCCTCGTCCTCCTCCTCCACTTCCTCCTCCTCCTCCTCCTCCTGCTCCTCTTCCTCCTCCTCCTACCCCCCTCAGACCTTTCTGTTGTCCCTGGCGGAAAACGGGCGTGACTGGGGGGAGAGGGAGGGAGATGGCCGATCACTTCACGATTCGCGCCAGCGCCGTCTGTGAATGCTAGAGATTGGCCAATGCCCAGACGGAGCTGGCGCGAATCGTGACAGTCGGGTGCGCAGTTCCCCGACCCCGTGCGGGAAACCCTCCATCCTGGTTTTGTCTTTGGTTTTTTACGTGCAAGGTTCGGGATCACTTCGTATGTTTAAACTATATTTGTGTTGTTTGTCGGGTTTGTTATTCGGGGTTCCGCCAGACCCTCTGCTGTGCATCACCCGCTGCTCGACGACGCCTTTCCCCAAGCTGACGAAACACGCATCCTTGGTACTAGACGTGCCTCCCTGCCGTGCGCCACCCTCTGCTAGACGAGGCCCCTCCCCAAGCTGATTGAGAAAAGCTTCCTTGGTACTAGATGCGCCCCTCCTGCTATGCACCACCCACTGCTAGACAAGGCCCCTCCCCAAGTTGATTAAGGAAGCATCCTTGGTACTAGAAGCGCCCCTCTGCTGTGCATCACCCGCTGCTCGACGAGGCCCCTCCCCAAGCTGATTACAAAAACATCCTTGGTACTAGAAGTGTTCCTCTGCCGTGCGCTGCCCTCTGCTAGATGAAACCCTTCCCTAAGCTGATGAGAACACCATCCTTGGTACTAGACTCGCCCCCGTACCGTGCGCCGCCCGCTGCTAGACGAGGTTCCTCTTCAAGCTGAATATTCAACATCCTAGGTACTAGACGTACAGGGTCCGGCTTGAATAAGGAACACTTACTTTTCAAAAGGGGCTCGGTCGTTCCGTTGGTTTGTTGGCTTGCATACGTTCCGCTACCTTTTTGGGCGGCGAGCCCTTGGTGATCCTTCAGATTTGGACGCGCGGGTCCGTTCCTTCGGACTTCGCAGACTTGCTTGGTAAAAAAGGGGCTTCGTTCCTCATGTCTCGTTTCTTAGGTCAGGCCGAATGCTCTACCCTTCTGCCGCGCGCCACCCGCTGCTAGACGAGGCCCCTCCCCAAGCTGATTGAGCACGCGTCCCTGGCACGTAGACGTGCCCCTCGTCCGTGCGCCGCCCGCTGCCAGACGAGGCCCCTCCCCACGCTGATCTCAAAGAGCTTTCTTGGTGCTCGACGCTCCCCTCTGCCGTGCGCCACGCTTTGCTTGACGAGGCCCCTCCCCGAGCGTCCCCGGGGCGTTCGGAGGCCCCCAGGGGCGTCGAGGATTTTGATGGGTCCGTCGGGCAAAGCGCTCCAGTCCGGGGAGGGAAACCTTAAAAAAAGACTTTCGGAAGGCTTCCAAAAACCTCCTTAAAGGTGGTGGGAGAGGGTCTAGGGAGGTCCAGGGGGGGGGACGGGACCCCCTAGAGTGGGGCCCCCCCCTTGAATTGTCCCAAACCTCGTTGAGGCTGGTTTTTCAGCGGGGCCAGGGGGGAAAACGAGGAAAACCTACAAACAACTGGCTGGATGGTTTTGAGAGGGGTCCGGGGAACCTCCGAAATAACCCAGAATCAGAGGCAGCAGCGTGGAATGGGGATTCCCCGCTGCAGTGTCCCGGCGGAGAACCGCGGGTCACGCCCGCAGGCCGCGAGGAGGACATCCACCTCCACGCCCATACCCTCCTTGACGTCCACCACCTCATCCTCCTCCGCCCTCCGCAACAAGCACCTGCTCGCGCGCCTTCTCAAGCACTGGCATCCCCCTCCCCATCGTCCCCCTCCTCCTCCTGGCCATCCTGGTCCTCCTCCTCCTCCTCCTCCTGTTCCTCCTCCTCCTCCTTGTCCTCCTCGTCCTGCTGCTCTTCCTCCTCCTCCTCCCTTACCTCCTCCTCGTCCTCCTCCCCTCCTCCCCCACCTGCTCCCGCGCCAGATCATGAATGCGATGCAACAGACTGCATGAATAAGACGGCGCCGAGGCACTTACTTCCGCGGGCAGCTCGCGCGCGGGCGAGCGCGCAATCGATCCCCGGGGCGCCGCCCCCCCCCAAACTTCAAATTCGGCGGTGCAACGGACCGTTTCTGTCAAGGCCTCGGTCCACCCTCGGGGGCGGTTAACCCACCCATCCCGCTAGCAGGCCGTGGAGGCCTTGGATAAGGAATCCAGGGTCTGGAGCCTTGTGGACATCCACTTGCGTGGAACGGGGGGGGAGGACAGAAGTTGCCCGCCCCCACTCATTGTGAGCTGCCTACCCTCTCTCCGCCCCCCCTCCCTCCCCCCTACTTCCTCCTTCCTCCCGCCTCCCTCCTCCCTCCCCCCTCCCTCCCACCCCCCTCCCACCCTTCCTCCGCCTCAGATCCCCTGGGGGAGGGCGGCAGGGTAGCGGCGCGGTTGCGGTTGCGCGCCTGCGGGCGGGTTGAAATGCGTCGCCCAGTCGGCGCTGCGGTTGCGCGCCCGCGGGCGGTTTGAAATGCTATCCCAGTTTCGGTTGCGCGCCCGCGGGCAGGTTGAAATGTGTCGCCCGGTTGCGGTTGCGGTTGCGCGCCCGCGGGCAGGTTGAAGTGTGTCGCCCAAATGCGGTTGCGGTTGCGTGCCGGCGGGCGGGTTTGAAATGCGTCGCCCAGTTGCAGCCGCGGTTGCGCGCCCGCGGGAGGGTCGAAATGTGTCGCCCAGTTGCGGTTATCGAAATGCGTCGCCAAGGTGCGGTTGCAGTTGCGCGCCCGCGGGCGGGTCGAAATGTGTCGCGCAGTTGCGGTTGCGGTTGCGCGCCCGCGGGCGGGTTGAAATGCGTCGCCCACTTGCGGTTGCGCGCCCGCGGGCGGTCTGAAATGCGTCGCCCAGGTGCGGTTGCGGTTCCGCGCCCGCGGGCGGCTTGAAATGTGGCGCCCAGTTGCGGTTGTTGTTGCGCACCCGCGGGCGGGTCGAAATGTGGCGCCGAGTGGCGGTTGCGGTTGCGCGCCCGCGGGCTGTTTGAAATGTGTCGCCCAGTTGAGGTTGCGCGCCTGCGGGCGGGTTGAAAAGTGTCGCCCAGTTGCGGTTGCGGTTGCGCGCCCGCGGGCGGTCTGAAATGCGCCGCCCAGTTGCGGTTGCGTTTGCGCGCCCGCGGGCAGGTTGAAATGTGGCGCCCAGTTGCGGTTGCGGTTGCGCGCCCGCGGGCGGGTCGAAATGTGTCGCCCAATTGTTTTTGCGGTTGCGCGCCCGCGGGCGGTCTGAAATGCGTCGCCCAGGTGCGGTTGCGGTTCCGCGCCCGCGGGCGGCATGAAATGTGGCGCCCAGTTGCGGCTGTTGTTGCGCACCCGCGGGCGGGTCGAAATGTGGCGCCGAGTGGCGGTTGCGGTTGCGCGCCCGCGGGCTGTTTGAAATGTGTCGCCCAGTTGAGGTTGCGCGCCTGCGGGCGGGTTGAACAGTGTCGCCCAGTTGCGGTTGCGGTTGCGCGCCCGCGGGCGGTCTGAAATGCGTCGCCCAGTTGCGGTTGCGTTTGCGCGCCCGCGGGCAGGTTGAAATGTGGCGCCCAGTTGCGGTTGCGGTTGCGCGCCCGCGGGCGGGTCGAAATGTGTCGCCCAATTGCGGTTGCGGTTGCGCGCCCGCGGGCGGGTTGAAATGCGTCGCCCAGTTACTAGTTGCGGTTGCGCGCCCGCGGACCATTTGAAATGCGTCGCCCAGGTGCGGTTGCGGTTGCGCGCCCGCGGGCGGAATGCAAGGTGTCGCCCAGTTGCGGTTGCGTTTGCGCGCCCGCGGGCGGGTCGAAATGCGTCGCCCAGTTGCGGTTGCGCGCCCGCGGGCGGGTTGAAATGTGTTCAAGGCGCCCCCCTGACGTTCAGTCAGTCAATCAGTCAGTCAGTCAGTGACCGGCGGGCACGGAATTTCACCCAGCTCTGCCGGAAAACAAGCCCGAACAACCCTTCCGAACAACCCCAGACAAACCCCCAAGCAAAGCCCTTAACAGCACATGGCAAGCACATTGAGAAAGGGAGTTCCGGCGTGGGTTCTTCCGACATGCGATTCTGGGGGGTTCTGTTGGAGTCCGCCTGGGGATCCCCAAGCAACCCCTCCACTCGGGTGTTGCTCTGGGGTTTCTCAGTGGGTTCTCAGTGGTTTATGCCCGGGCACGACTTGAAGAGGGCCAGGTGAATTATAGACGATCAATGACTAGGTAAAGTTCGATTATTCGGTAAATGCGTTTCGCGCGTGGCCGCTCGACGAAAATGCGCCCTTCATGTCGGGTCGTCGAAAGATAACGCAGTCCGCAGACACCCGCTGCCCCTTGGAAAATAAACAGGATGCGCAGCGTTTTGCGCAGAATCCATGATAAAACAGAAGGTATGGAGACCCCCAGATTTTTCATTAAAATATGGAGCACTTTACTTTTTGGGTGGCGCCTCGAGGGTGGCGCGTCTCGCGCACAGGAGTTTCGAGGAACGGATTCCTGTTGCTATGAAAAACCATGTAAAAATATTGTATGTGTTGAGAAATTGCGTTTCGCGCGTGCCCTGAGGAAAATTCGCCCCTTTTTATTTCGGATCTTCAATAGAGAACGGGGTCCGCAGACACCCGCTGTCCATTGTAAAAAAACCGTGTACGGAACGTGTTGCGCAGCATCCAAAGTAGCACACGTAGACCGTAACATTTTACACAAACATGAACCAACACACATATACATATATGAAAGAGCGTGTTCTACCGCTGCTGGCGGAAAACCGGGGGGGTCACTACCGGTTCGAACCCTTCCCCCCCCCCCTCCGGAAAACCGGGGGGGGCCACTGCCGGTTCGAACCCCTCCCCCCCCCCCCCAGCTCATCATGAAAAGGGGGGGGGGTCATTACCGGTTCGAACCCCCCCTCCCCCCCCCCTTCGAAAACTGAGTGGGGGTGCGGACAGAGGTGG